CATTTAAATCATCTAAAGATTAAAACATACCCTTCAGACTTCAAGGACTAAATACTACCATCCAGTTATTTGGGAAAAACAAATGTCAAAACAAAACAGAATGAAATTCAATACCCATCAAGCACATGCATTTGGCCCTGTTAACATCAAACAGTATCACTAGAGTTCAGCCTTAAAGCAGGAATTCACAAACAATTGAGCCAGTTTTAAAAGCCAAAAATAACTAAAAGAGACATCTTTTTGCAGAACTAGATTCTTCTAAAGTGCACATTTAGCTAAAGCATATGTACATAAAACAAATCCCAATAAGAACAACTACCATCCAGAACCAAATCCAAACTTCTGAATACAAATTTAAAGGCTATTGGTTATGGATCAAGCAGAGTTTAGTCTGAAACCCCATTAATGCATAAAGTAAAAGAACAAAATCAATTAAAGAGTAGTTCTTACTTGAGCAAGATAGAATAAAATTGCATTGGAAAATTAGAATCAAAACAAATCCTAATACGAGCAACTACCATCCAGAATCAAACCCGAACTTTTGAATACAAATTTAAGGGCTACTGGTTATGATCAAGCAGAATTTAGTCTGAAACCCAATTAATGCATAAAGTAAAAGAACACAATCAATTGAAGAGTAGGTCTTACTTGAGCAAGATAGAATAAAATTTGCATTGGAAAATTAGAATCAAAACATTTCTAGCATTGAATAACTGCGAACAACATAATATAAGTAAATGCAGTTGAACATTAAAAGGGCTAAAAAATGAGACAAAACCACCATAAGAAGAACGTTCTTCTTTCTAATACTTCAACGGTAAGACTTCTGGAACCTAGCTCTGGCGCCACGACCACCGAACTTCTTGGGCTCGCACCGCCTGGGATCAGCGACGAGCAGAGCCCTATCGTACCTCACCAAGATGTCTTTAATCTCCTTCTTCTGCTGCTCATCCACAAACTTTTGGTAGTAGGCGACAAGAGCCTTGGCGATGCTCTGCCTAATCGCGTAGATCTGTGAGGTGTGCCCTCCACCTTTGACGCGAATCCTCATGTCCACTCCGTTGAAGCGGTGACGTCCGAAGAGTAGGATTGGTTCAACGGCCTTGAGTCGCAGGATCTCCGGCTCCACAAGCTCGATGGGGCAGCCATTGATCTTGATCAGTCCTTTCCCGCGCTTGCAGTAGGTGACGGCCACCGCCGTTTTCTTGCGTCCAAAGCACTGGACGGACTCCACAGCCGGTGTAGGTGCAGCCATGGTTGGGGTTAGAGCCGCCGGATGTGCTGCGGCTCTGGAGAGACTGAGATGACGAGGGGGCTGAGTTTATTAGGGTTTCGTCAAGGGTTTTATTTTTTATTTTTTAGGGGGAATTTAAGTAGATCGAAAATTTCTACTAAAACAAAATTATAATCTCTCTATTTCTTATTGTTACATTTTACTCCCCCCAGGAACACATTGACTTTTCCTTGGACATTAGCCACTTAAACCCTCAATTTGGTCCTGAACTATTATATATATTTTATTTTGGTCCTTAAACTAAAAAAAAATCTTTATTTGATCCATAAACTATTGTACAAATCCAATTTGGTCTGTATTATTTACTAATTTATTCCAAATTGATTTTTTCATACAAAAAATAATTGACGTGTCCGTTATTTAACAATAAAAAACAATAACTTAACGGCCATGTATTAAGTTTATAATAAGACATGTCAGTTGGTTTTTATATGGAAAGATCAATTTGGAGTAAATTGGTAAATAGTAGAACTAAATCGTGGATCCGTACAATAATTTAAGAACCAAATCAAAGATTTTTTTAGTTTAAAGATCAAATAAAGAGTTCTTACAATAGTTCAAAAACTAAATTAGAGATTTAACCTAAAAATTAATAAAAAGTTAGACCACCATTCTTTTTTCAAATCTTTCTTTTGAATCCGCCAACAATTACAATTACGATTATATTATTTCATAATTTAAATTATAAAATATTTTTTTATAATTAAATAGCAATTTAATAATAGTCTTTTTTTTAAGTGAACATAAAAAAATATTTAGTTTAAAATTTAAGCAAAACACCATGCAAGGACAA